CAAGATCGCCGGTCCACCAAGTTACAAGTACCAGCCAACAATCTAAGATCTCAGAAAAGCAAAACAGGGCCTTCGATCAACAGCCCCTTTTCGATTTCATCGGAGTTTACCACCACGTGTATTTTCCAAGATTTTGACACATTCCAAATGTGCCTTGGGGCCTGCAGCTTCGATGTGCCACCAGCGCTTCCTCCTCATCAGTCTCTGCCCTTGCATCTGCCCCTTCCTCCTCATCAGTCTCCATTGGGTGTGCAGGTGAAAGCAAGGTTCTTCGATGTGCCACCAGTACTTCCTCCCCACCAGTCTCTACAATACATGCAAGTGCACGCCGTGCACGCAATTGCGCACGTACGATGCACAAGCGCACGTGGATCCATGCGACGCATGGGCACGTACGATGCATGAGCACGAAAAAAAATAATAATAAGATGGGAAAGTAGCATCGCCACCTAACGGTCAAGACTGATGTCCCAGAGACCTATTTGAGGCAACTTCTGAGCCTAGGCCATTTCTGGTGTTCCACAGGATCTCTTCCTTCGGTACTACCCCCTTCTGCATCTACGAAAACAGCAACAACAACAAAAAAAAAAAAAAACAGAAATTGTTCTTGGTGCGACGCACTGGCAGGTTCCGCGTGATGGGCGTGGTGCACCGCCTCGCACGGACATGCAGCTCGTGCGGTTGCACGTATGGTCTCTGCCCGTCCATCCTTGCAAGGGAGGGGAGGCGCACCTTCCCCTCCCTTCCTCTGCTTCGTGCTGTTCAGCAAAGATGGATGTCATCGTGGACTACCCTCACCGAGCACAACGACAGATGTGCATTCATTGTTGGGATTGTCGTCATACCATCGTAAACTTGCCCTCGCTTCCTCTGTTGATGCCCATCCTTCGAGCAGATTAACCAGCAAGAACCTTGCTTTCGCCTGGACATCAGATTGAGAAAAGGCCTTTCAAGTCTCTAAAGCAAACTCTGGCAAGCCATCCTCTCCTTCATACCCCTTCCTTTCCTCATCCACACCAATGTGTGCCAGCCAGTATGGCATTAATGCTGTCCTTCAGCCATGCCGTCCAAACGCATATCAGCATCGACGTCTTTGTGCCAGTATCGCATTAATGCCATCCTTCAACCAGCCGTCCAAACGCATATCAGCATCAACGTCTTTGTCCAAAGTCTTTGTGCTTCATGAGGTTTTGTGGTACTGGCAGTGTTGGCTTCTTTGGAGGCATTTCAAAGTCTACTCCGACCATCAAAATTAGCAGTGGCTGAAAAAACAGCCAAAACTGTATTACAAATGGATCAAAGAGATTGACACCCTTTGGGCTTTGACCTCCAATGTAAGGATTGATGCTATAAGCATGTGGCTTATGGTTTGTCGGGTAGACCCAACTGGTTGTGTGCATTAAGCCCCCAGTCCGTTTCCTACCGTCTTCCCCCGAACATAACGCGCCCTGAAAATGAACGTATGCAAGGCATGTTTCCGGCCCGATACAGTCAAATGAGGGTACCTTGTGTTCGGGGGAAGACGGTAGCTATTTCGTTCCTGCGAGGTGGTTAGCCTGCCGCCTAACAGGGGCTCGGCCTGCCAGACCAAAATGGATGGCTGCCCAAGGCCAAAAGAATCTGCAACGGTTTTGTTTTAACTCAAACTCAAATTGAATAGTGCTGCTAAGGTTTTTTTTTTTTTTTTTTTTGGCATGCAGCAGCCTGGGTCAGGAAAATGAGGATCAGAGGGACTGGTGTTTTAACTACTTCAGGCATTTCGAGGATTTATCTCCTTCCATTGAACCAGCTGTCAAAGATCCAATTCTTGCGCCTATCTTCGCCCAAAGTCAGGGAGATCCAAATTTCACACTGCTTAAACCACCAGTACACTGCCATACATCGGTTGCAGGCCCTCACTGCAACTTTCGGAGGCTGGAAACAAAGGCCATTGATGAAATTTATCAACGGCAGCGCACCCCCGAAAGTTGTGGTTGAGGGGACAAGTTCATTTCCTGCTAGGCTGGGGCCGTGTAGTGGCGGTTTAATGCACTCCTCTATTTGTGATCACTTAAATGTGATTCTGAACCCATCCAAGCCAGAATACTGGCCGAAATTCATGATCATCCCGATGGTAATTTTGAGTTTTTCAAACCGTACGGAAGTTCGTTACAACACTTTTTACTTGGCTGGCATGAAAGCAACTGCCCACAAAAATGTTGAAAGCTGTGAAGGCCGTCAGAAGATCAAAACTCACCAATAGAACCCCCTCGCCTGCTTCAAACCCTTCCCGTCCCTGATGGTTCCGAACAGTTAAGAGTCTCTGAAGCTTTGTGTTTTCCTGAGATTCGTGTGTCGGAGCATGTTTTCTTTTTCCACTTGCCTTTGAATGATTGCATTGCTGTCTGATATCTACCAAGTCTATTGCTTTTGTCTCTGTGTTAACTCCCTGTCCATGCTGTGGTCCCGTGTCTAGGGAAGGGTGGATCTGTAAATAGTCATAGGTACAGTGGCAAGACGGAAATGCTTAAGCGTAGATAGAAAAATCAGCCTAGGACGGATTCTCGAGCGACTCGGATTTGCCTGGAGTTCTAGGATGGCAGCAGGTCTGACGATGGTACCAGGCTGAATATAGGCTAGGTTTCGATCAGGGTGCCAAAGGGTCCGAGGGTACTGATGTCCCCATCAAAAAAGGCCCACCAAAAACGGAGGCCCCAATAGGCCTAGTAGCAACCAGGCTCAGGAGCACTCATGTTGACGCACCTCGCCACTGTTAACAAGAGTCCGGCGGATATATCAGAATAGACTGGCGGTTCACCTGCCACTACACCTGACAGTCATACTGCTGCTCCCCCAAGAGAGAAAAGTGCACTACAGAGCTGGAGGAGACAGTGAAGGAGAAGTCCACCATGGCTATGGGGGTGAAGGGGGAGAAAGAACCAGAGCAGGGTTGGCTATGGTAGAATGATGGTGACCTCACACCAGGGTATGGGTGACCTCTTTAGGTGAAGAAGAGGGGGAGGGGAGGAAGGGAGAACCCACATGAAAGCTTACCTTTCGCTATGGTAGACTGTCATCTTCATTCCTATGGTTGGTGATACATCAAGTAGACCCTTATAGTTTTCCAGCTGAACAAGGACTTCATCAGAGAGTGAGGCATGGAGACCAAACGGCCGAGCGAGAGTAGTAGGTGGCATGACATCCTTTGTGCATACCACTTGAGTACCAGGATGGTCTCAAGAAGTTAGTAGTACTACCGAAGGGGAGAGAGGAAGTACAATACATTTTGCAGGGACTCAGATTGGCTTACTCACTCGGAGGGACATCGCTCTTAACGGGCGGTAGCGTAATGACCTGCAAAATCACAGACCGAGAACTCTGCTGATGTCTGAGTTTTGCCGCTGGAATGTGTCCCATGCTGAGATTCCCGCTTTCTGCTGAGCTTTCAGTCTGTGTGTGTGCGTGCTTGCTGGTTCCCGTGTGCCTGTCTGAGTGCATGATTGCTTGAGTGTGTGTGCGACCCGCCAGGGTACTTGTATGTTTGGGAGGCCCCCGGGCCTGGCACTCAGCCGTGGCTGTGCTTCTGTGGGGTTGAAGCAGGGACTTAGCGGTAGGCTAGGCCCCAGGCCCGTGTAGGCCTGCGTAAGTTAGAAAACGCTTGAGTAGCGGTAGGTAGGCAGAAAAGGACAAAACGTTAGTACCTTAAGAGGCCGAGTGAATGTCAGAAGTCCCGTAGGCCTAGAGGTCTACGAGTACCAGTCCAGTAGTCTGAGTCCAGGGGCGAGTGATGTTTCTCACTGGAAGGAGGAAGGTGCCGGATACTTGGGAGGCCAAGCGGCCTGGAAAGTCACTGCCCAAGAGGCAAGCGTATATCTTGGGATAGCACTCGTTGCTCTCGCTCATTTTGCGGTGCGCAAGTTTGGCATCATACTGCTGGAGAGAGTGGTAGCCAAGACCAGCGCTGGGGGAGAAAGGAGACCTGGCGGACCAGCTCAGGTAGGAGGAGGAGGAAGAAGATGGGCTGGAAGGAGAGTGAAAGGGTAATTACAGGAGGAGGAGGAAGAAGGTGGGCTAGAAGGAGAGTGAAAGGGTACTTACCTGGCTATGTCATGTACCGCTGGCAGTAAGGAGGAGATTCGGACATTGGTTCTGGTTCAGTCAGTCGTTATTATTATTATTTATTGCATGAAGAGCTTTGGGTAGATAAGGAGGATGAAGTGAGTTGGCAAGTTGGAGTCCCTGCTGGTCAACTTCTTCTTCTTCTTCTTCTTCTTCTTCTTCTTCTTCTTCTTCTTCTTCTTCTTCCTTTCTTTCTTATTTCTTCTTCTTCCTTTGTATATTACTCTTTCTAAGTTCTTTCATTTCATTCGCAATTGAACGGCATTGTCTTTCCTTGTGTTATTGCACTTTGGAATAGCCAGGATCATAACATTCTTCTTCTTCTTCTTCTTCTGCGTCTATCTTACTCTCGTCTCTAGTTCTCTCTCATCACCTCCATCCTTGAGTTGTGAGTGCTGAATTCTGAATTTTGAGTTTTGTGTGATGCATGCGCTAGCCTCATAACACTGCAATATACTTGCCTCCCTCGGAATGCAACTGGACATAAGAGTCCAGGTGCACGATCATTACAAAGAAATTTCCCTTCCCAGCTGCCTTCTGACATGCACAAAGGCCATGTCGAGAGCCATACATGCACATAATGCACAGACTCAGCTAAGTCTTTCTGGAAATTCATCCTTTTTTCTGTTGGCACAAAGAATCCTGGTAGTCTTCCCGGATCCCATCATCCCCCGATCCACATGATTGCCAAAAGAGTGCTTCCCAGCCGCTGCACCAAACAGCACAGAAGAGTACCTTGCTGTCTTTCAGTGAAAATGGAACAAGTCCTCTACACCCTAATCAACAATTTCACAATTCAAACCGTGTCAAAACAATACTGTCGAGGATTTTCCTTTCGACAAGAAACAAAATAATAAATAAGCCATCATGGGGTTGACAAATCGTGCGTTTCAAAAGCGTACCAACTTCGTTCTGCCGCAATGAAAACGACATCTGGGAGCTCTGGAAGTGTGCCAAATCATTCTGCAGCTGCCGCAATGACGTCAACGAAATCTGGAACGTCTGGAAGAGTGCCAGATCCCGGAATGAACATGCTGTCTTTCTGTGGTGGGTAAGAGATCTTCCTGGATTTGTCTGCCGATCACGTACAAAACTAAATTTGCATTAGTGAAGAAAAGACATTTTGCACAATCTTACTTCCTCCATTTCCATCGTCCAACCACATTCCCAAACAATCAACATATTTTCCCACCTCAGTTTTTCCTTCGACTCTTTCTCCCAGTTGAGCATTAAGACACCGCACCACGTTCTTTTTTACCGCCTTTTTCTGTGTTTCCCCCCCCCCCTTTTGTAAGTGTTTTTCTTCAACAGACGCGACATACGGCAACAGGAGAGTACCCCCTCAAGGGTGCTTTCTACGTTTTTCACACTCTTTCGCTCTCCGTTTCATTTTCTTTCCTTCCTCCCACACTTCCTGTCAGAATAAGTGGGTGGTTAAACTTATGGGGTAAGGAGAGCGGGGG